GACTTTCAATAACTAATCGTTCTTGATTATATTCCCCTCACTCCCAGCCCCCTTTTTCTGCGCGCGTGTGGCTCCTTTTGACATTTTTTTCGCTTTCCTTTTTTTTTTTTTTTTTTTTTGATGTTTTTTTTTTTTTTTTTTTTTTTTTTTTTGTTTTATTTCGTTTGCGTGGTAATAAAGGTCGCACGGGAAGAAAAAAGAAGAAGGAAAAAAAAACAAGAAAAGAGGGGGAAGGGGGTAGAGAAAAAAAAATAAAATAACCGGTTTAAATTAATACGCCCGCGGAAGCAGCAACTAGGGGTTGGGGGGAGGGGTGGGGAGGGGGGATCGTCGCTTTATCGGTCGTTTATTCATTATAAGCGCGAAACGAAGAAGAGACCGATCCCCCAACTCACCCCCTCTTGATCATCGGTTACCGATATTTCTGCAAAGTAATATCGCGTGTTTGTATCCTTTTTCTGTACGCCGATATAATTCGTTTGCTTCCTGTTTTAAAGGGAGGTGGGGGGAAAAAAACAAACGAAAAAAATTCGATCGATTATACATTTTATATATAATATTTATACACGGTAGTATCTTCTCCCCCCCCCAACCCCTTCGAGACGTAATACGAGATATCGTATGAATCCAAAAAAAAGTGTGTACACAAACAAAAATCATATTATCAAGTAACTTTCGAATCATTCACACATACGAATAGCAACGAAACAATTTTCTAATCCTTGTTAAAAAGAAAAAAAGAAGATCCTACTTGTATACACATTTTTTCCCCTGACACCCTGTTCCCCAACCCCCCTCCCCACCTGCTCTTTTCCTTTCTCTTCAGGGATGTATCTTTTTTTGTGTTTCTTTTCTCGTTTTGTTTGGTCGCGTTGTACCCCCTTTATTTTCTCCGTCTTTTTTTTGGTCCTGTCTCGTTGTTTGCTTTATTTTTGTATTTGTTTTTCTTTTTTTCTTTTTTTTTTTTTTTTGCAAAAGATATATATGCACGAAATAAAACCGTTTGTCGGGTGACACGCGATATAACGCGCGACGCGACCTACATCAGCCACAAATGGAAACGTTTTTATTATAAATGGGCCAGTGAAGTGAGCTGGAGTAGGGAATAGCGGAGATTAGCGGAGAGTTTTACGTTCGAATACATGACACGCAGCTGTAGTATTCATTTCTCTCTCTCTCTCTCTCTCTCTCTCTCTTTCGCATGAACTCATATGAACGTACAAGCGCAAACTATATCTCTCTCTCTCTCTCTCTCTCTCTCTTTCTGTCTCTTTTTCTGTTCGTTCTTTCTCTTCGATTGACCCAATAAATACGCGCGGATGGATTTGTACGAAACGACACGAACGATTCGTAAAGCGTATGAACGGATAAATCTTACATTGAGAGATTTTCCTTTTTTTTTTCTTTTTTTTACGGCCATTATATTCCAACCAAAATTTTTTGTTTCAAATACATTCGTTGCAAAGAAAAATAATATATATATATATATATATATAATATGTAATATCGAATTGTCGATAATATGATAACGATACAATAAAATAAAAAAGAAAGAAAAAAAAAAGCAAACGTTCGTTTCGTTTATTATTTTAACAAAATATCGGACAAATGAATTTTATTTTATTTTTTTTCCTCTTTATTCTTTATTTTCTTCGAGATATTCTCAAACATTGACACACATCTTCTAATGAACGAACGTGTAACGAAGATTATTCGTTTTCATTTTTTTTTTGTCCCCACCCTATTCTTTTCTTCCAAAATTAGTATCTTATATACGTGGGTCGTGAATCTATACACGTTTTTACGTATATACGTATCTTGCATAAAACATTATGTCTCTTATTCTGGGCATGCATAAATGTAAAATCATAACAAGCCGTAAAAAGAAATTCAAAGGTAGAAAAAAGTATTATATGTATATACATGGGGGGAGGGGGGGGAGGGAATGAGGTCGGTAACGTCGTTTTACGTTGAACTCGGTGTATTTCTAATGACGTTTAAACGAAAATTTGACGAAAGGTAAAGGTAAAAATGTAACCACCACCGATGCTATAATACAATTCGTATAAATATTACGTATACATTAGTTTGCGTGTATATATACTCCAATAATAAATATTTTAAAAATGATTAAGGATCGATCGTTAATGATATTAATTATTAAACATTACGCGATTTTGTTTGAATATTTCGAATTTGTTAGGAAACGATATGACATAGATTTCCACGTTTAATCGGTCTTATCGAAATGAAAAGCTTAAATATTCGACAACATTGACAGGGGAAAGGGAACTACTATTCACGCAATTTTAGAGAATGATTACCGGTACCGGTCAGACAGCAGGAACACTTAATCCAAAACGCTAATCAGTCAGACGGTTTTGGCGTTAAGTAATTACAGATACTCGTGACAAATACCAACGATAAATTCAATCTCATTTATCGAAACTAATTGAAATTCATTTTGCATTCCTCCGATCATCTCTTTTTATCCAATTTATATTAATTAATATATTTATTTCCCAGTTATATAATTGTCCTCCCCTCCCCCCATACACACACACACACGTTGATTCATTTTTGTTTCGTTGAACTCGTACACGAACATAAAGTACGAACACATTTTTTTCTTTCTTATTTCGATATTACATAAAATAATATCACTCGTATACACGAGTCACGTTACTTAATGTTTCATACAGAACGTTATTTCAAATTTAATATTCAAATATTATTTTCGTGGACAAACAGGAGGACACATACAAAATAATCATGCTTTGTGACAACGCATACGCGCTCATTAAATTGCATATATTATTCTAATTATATTTCTATCTTTTGAAATAAAACGTATAAAAAAGAAGGAGATAAAAAAAAAAAATAAAAAAAAAACATATATAGATTAGAAAAAGATAAATGAATGAATAAAGTTTACGTTACGATAAGTAACCACAAAGTGATTCGATCAAAGAGTGTACTTTAATTTAATATAAGTTTCATTAAAATCTATTCACTTTTAGTA